ATTTCACTTCTTTCTTTCAGAATGAGGCGAAAAGTATTAAAAGAGGTGAAAATCACTACAAGTCTGGGCATGTTGAGAGCTGTACATGTACACACAAGGGGAGTTAGTCGGTTCCGTAAGAGCCAGCAAGAGGGACCGGGATTCTGGGATTTGTAGTCTTTCTAGTTGCGTATTTTTCATAGTCTTATATTTCAACAGTTTTACGACAAACTGGGACTTTTTTGACACGGAAATTAATTTTTAAGATTGACAAACATCATATGTGTAATTCGTGGCACAATTCAAACGGGATCGAATGATAATCTTTCTCTCCATTGACTTCAATACATAATATTTCCAAAATAAGGTCCCATGGGTCGGAAGTAGATGGGCGGGACTTCGCCTCTCTATAGCACTAGTTACAGTATGACCACAAATCCAAATCAAACATTATATAAAGTAATGATTTAAAAAGATTCACAATGTTGCTTTCACACAGTTAGCATTGTTATGAATTGTAATACTGTGTACATGGGCTCGTACTTCTCTGGTTACCCAGTGTGTCTAATCCGCTAACAGCATGCAGATTGTGACAAAGCGCCATGGTCACTGAATAGTAAGATGGTGTGACAGGACGCACTGTCATCAGACCCGAGTCATGATTGGGAGTTTGGCAGCAGCTGAATGCAGTCTTGTTTTCTCCCGAGTCTCTGTTAGGAACCTATCTTCTCAGTCCGCTCCTGTGATTATTTCACAATTGGAGCATAGTTTAGCGAGCAGCATAATTTCATGTAAATATCTAGACACACAATTCTCTAATGCACCATTTATTTCTGAGTAAGCGATTACGTCTCAGCTCATCTGAGCAATGGACGTTTACTATATTGATCGCTGCTCGCGTTTTGTTGCCGATGCTTTTTCGTTGAGGATGAATCTGCTGCTTGCTGTTGACATACTGGCACTTGACTCGCGGCCATTTTTGCTTTACTTGCTAACATCATTGGCATTGAATGGTTTTGTTTGACCTTTGACAATAAGGTATAGATAATGCAATCAATTCTATTTTTCCTTACATTTGCATTTCTTGTTTGGCCTTGAGCTCAACATTTTCGAGATGAGCATTTTGATCACGTAACTACTCCCAAATGGAGTGGGCTTCGTGTCCTGACCCTCATTATATTTTACAGTGAATTCACCACTAAATCAATGGCCATTCAATAATTATTTTCTTATCTTTAGGACCCCAGGGCCTGGACTACTTCCTCATTTTATATAGAAATTCATTTTCAGCAAGAGTTATGTCTGTGTGTAGGTGCCAACGTTTCTTCTAGAGAATAATCTCTGAGGCCCAGAGCGTTCGTTTGTAGGTTGCTGCAACAACGCTGTAGTGTTTGTTTATCTGAAAAGCCTACGACCTTGAAACTGTGCATTAGCATTGCTCTTGTGCATAATCAATCCTAAAGAGATGGGCACAGGTGAAAGATTGGCAGCAGCAGAAGCCAGCCAACTATTACTGTTTACTGTCTGACCTGAAGCGTCGAGCCAGATTCCTTTGCGGGTCCTATGACTCAATTTGTTTTGTAAATTGTTCCTTACTTGCATTTTGTATTTTGCATGCTCAGTCTTTGTACATGATTACTTTCTTTTCTGGATTTACATTGTATCCTAATGTCATAAATGAAGTTTTCGCTGTATTGCATATCTGGAATGTTGTAAGTGTATTTGTAGCATTTTTCCGCGTACATAGATGAAGCCTAACTGATAGAAACGCTGCTTCTGATTCAGATAAAATGAACAAAGTGGTCTATGCGGGTATTCTTGGCTTACTGCTTCTCCTGAGGGCTGGTTGTTGTTTGATAAAGAAAACCTGGATGTGCTTGTGTCCTTGGATGCTGTACTTCCTTTCTCTCGCACTCTTTCTTCCTCCCGCTCTCTCTTTTCATCCTCTGGCTGCCAAGTCCGTTCGGTCCCGCTGAAGGAGTGTCAGTGTGCATGAGGGGTTGGTAGATTTGACAGTCATACTGAGGTGTGAACATGGCTGCTCATGCATATGGGAGCATTATTTTATGTAAGCCACTCACTTCTCTAGTCTGGACTCGAGACGCGATAGCAGATATTTTGGAATCGTGATAAGGAATTTTGCCCTTTTTTTGTGTTATGACTGTTAACCAAGTGCAAATGATTGCATAACCTGGAATTGTTATATGTTTGTTTTTCTCCACTTGCACACATTAGCTTTCAAAGTGTTTGAGGCTATTCTTTGATCTCACCTCTTGTCAGCAACAGACCTTGCGCAGCTTGCTGTCCAGGTGGCTGTAATTCACACGTTCCCTGGTGCTTGTCTGGGATCAGATGTTCATGGTAATTTGTCCCCCTCAACCCACATGTTGCTGGCTTTTGTGTTAGATGAAGCAGATCCCCTCTTGCATAACCTTAATAATATACAGGCCCAGTAATAGCTGCACAACTTGTACTTGAGCTGAGAACACAACAACATTTTAGAACTGGTGGGGGTGGGATCCTCAGTGCTGACGTCTTTTAACTGTCAGAGATCATTTGGAACATGTGCTAACTTGTTTTAAAGATTCTGATTCCTATTGGTCTTTCACTTCCACATTCAACGCATTAACCATTTGAAATTGTTCCTTTTATTAATGTATTTGTATTATAAATTAAGTTCTCTAAAACCCAGGGTCCTTTAAAATACTTTGGACTTCACTTAGCATGCTTATACTTGCTGATGGGAAAAAAACTGAAAGTATTCAGTGGTAGTCATGTTCCATTTCCCCAGCGTACTTTGAACTATGGCACATTCCGGTAGACAAGCTCATTTAAAAAACGTGTTAGGTGTGCTCTCTATATCTCGTCACAACTCCACCAACAAGATACACATTTATCTATTTTATCTCTGGTTGAAAGTAAAGATTTTTAATATGACCTCCGATTTATTACCTACTAATAGATAAGAGCAGCAATTAAAGAGAGACACATGTATACAGAAAAAAAAGTAGATATCACTGAATTCTTCATACTGGTCAACAGTTTATCTCTGTAATTGCTTAGATGTTTATTGGCTGTTAGTTTACACTTGGAAAAGGTGGGAATAGTGTTCATGCATGAGATAATAATAATACATTACATTTATAAAGCGCTTTTCCTGGTGCTCAAAGCGCTTACAAGCAAGTAAAACAAAATAACAACAAAAGTGCTAAGCTAGGAGGAATAAGGGCAAGGGGTTAGTTGATTATCCTTGACGATAAGGAACATGCTTGACGATAAGAAAGGAGAGGTAGCTCTGGCTGTTCCAGTATGCTGCCGTTGTTGCTATCACGATCCTCCAGCCCTGCGTGGCTTGTGTGTGTGGGATGTCAGGAATAGAAATCCGGGCCATTGAGGGAACGGCGCAGGCCACATTTTCTGGGCTGCACTCCCCAGGATAGAAACTTTTCGTGTGTGCTTGTGCCAAGTTGGAATTAATTTAAAATCCAATGTAATGAGGTTGGATCTTAATGATAATGATGCAGTAATAAGATATACTGGATAGGTATTGGTATTTTCTAATAGAAAAAAGTCCTACTTGACAGTTTCCTTAGCTCCTTTTTTGGCAATCATCTATATTACAGTTTGTGATATTTACATAAGGACTAAGTAGAAGTCAACATAGCGGCCTGACTCCTCTGCCATGCTCCGTGATTCACCGTACCTGCCTTTTATGGAAGAGGAATGCCCCGGCCACCTCATGTTGAGGAGAGTCCTGCTTGTCTTTGGCTCCTGACCTGGTCCCTGAAGTCTTTCCTCTGTCAGACATTTTGTGTGTGTGTGTGTGTGTGTGTGTGTGTGTGTGTGTGTGTGTGTGTGTGTGTGTGTGTGTGTGTGTGTGTGTGTGTGTGTGGTGTGTGTGTGTGTGTGTGTGTGTGTGTGTGTGTGTGTGTGTGTGTGTGTGTGTGTGTGTGTGTGTGTGTGTGTGTGTGTGTGTGTGTGTGTGTGTGTGTGTGTGTGTGTGTGTGTGTGTGTGTGTGTGTGTGTGTGTGTGTGTGTGTGTGGTGTGTGTGTGTGTGTGTGTGTGTGTGTGTGTGTGTGTGTGTGTGTGTGTGTGTGTGTGTGTGTGTGTGTGTGTGTGTGTGTGTGTGTGTGTGTGTGTGTGTGTGTGTCCTAGCATTACTATACTTGTGGGGACCTACATCTGTTTACACAGTCACGTGTGGGGACTCGCCTCCCTTATGGGGACAAATTGGAGGTCCCCATGAGGGGAATCATTCATTTTAGGGTGAAGACTTGGTTAGGATTAGGGTAAGGGTTAGGCATGTGTTGGTTAAGGTTAGGATAAGTCTCCATGAAATGCATGTAAGTCAATGTAATGTCCCCTGAAGTGATATATACATGGTGTGTGTGCACTTATGCGTACACATATCACCCTGCCGTGTGCTTCACGACAAGGCAGCTCCACCCATTAATCTGAGCACAGCATTTTTCTCCTGGCTGCCTGCATTTATGACTCGTTTATCATCGATGAGTAAACACCTCGGAGAGAACAAATTAAGTTATAGACCTCGCACAATCACCATTTTGGCCTGTTGACCCGTGTCATACCTTTTTATATGTCCCCTATCAGAGGACAGTAGTAGGCTTTAAAGTCTCCACTGTTGAGTTGTTGACCTTTAAGTGGAATTTGGGCCTCATCAGCCTGTTATACTTTCTATGGCTACAGTCAATCCTCTGTGATCATTGTGGATTTGCTACACCCAAATTAACCGTCCATAAAACTTGTTTGTTATATAATTTATTAATTCTACTTCCCCCATGCTACAGATAGCAGGTGTCATTTTGGCTCACCTTCAGCAAATGTATTTTATTTGATAAAAAGCATTTCATATTTTTGGTTGGATTTCCTTGTCTCATTCGATATCTAATCTCTGTTTAAGTGACAAGTCGTACCCAGGATTACTAACATGTCCGCTCTTCTCTCTTTTTATCTTGATCTCGTCCCATCTCCACCATGCCTCCGGTGCTTTGTCCTGCAGCTTGGCCGCGATGAAAGAAGAGTGGACAGTAGGAGTATCTGCGTTGGTCATCGGTCCTCTTCCAACAATGAGGCTTTCATTCCACCCAAGTTCTGCGATAACAGGATTGTGTCCTCCAAGGTAAGAAACACAACCACATGCCAGGGCTCCTGTCTGGCCAAACACCAATAACACATTCATAAACATCTGTTTGTTTTCCAGCTCCCCTCTGTATTATGTTTCACGTGCCTTCTGGCATCCCCCCTCCCCCCTCTTATCTAATACTTGGAATGAACTCCTGAGCGTTCCTGTGTCTTCCCTTGCTTATTCCTCCTCCTCCCACTGCCTCTCCACATGTTTTCTCTTCGCACCTAAGGGAAGGTGATTATTGTCTGTCAGGGAGCACTGTCTGGCTGTGAAATACATGGCTGCTATTAATGTACTGGCAGGGTGAGCAATTTGATGCTTTCCCCCCCGGGCTCTGACAGACCCCACACCATTCTTCCTCACCAAAATCAGACCCTTCAGTCGTGTGATAAGTGTCAGGATCAGGCAGGTACTTGGGCGGCTAGTTTATGGATATGAAGTGTGAAAGTGATGAGGAGAAGGAAGCGGTTTGAGAGTAAGACTGGATGAGGTTTATAGTGGTGCAGAGGGTCCCAGTGAGGATGGGCCAATCAATTGGCTGCTGCCAGTATGTCAGGGTAAACAGCCTTTAATTACCCCGGCTGTAGTGTTTATGCTCCTCCATGCGTCTACTCTCCATCATCCTGTTGCTTTTGCTCTCTGCAATGACCAATCTCCGCCTCTCATCTCCTGCTCTCTTTGCTACGACTGCACCACCACTCTTTGCTGCTGCCATCCCCCTTTTCTCATTACTTTCACTCTCTTTTCTCTCTGGAAAAATGAGATGGGACATTCTGCTGCGGCTGCATTTCAACACTATCCCCATGCAGACATTCCCCTTCATAAACCTTGCCTTAGTGCTGTTCCCTTGCATGTGAGCGTGCATGTATTTGTCTTTTTCACACTGCTACTTTGTTGTGTGGCTCCAGAGACCAGCAGGGTATTGTTGAGCCGTCTCTCGGGATTCAAGCAGATAAAAGTGTCGCTTCAGCCCCGATGGTATCAGCAGTCATGGCCACTTAAAAAAGAACAAAACCCACATAAACGGATACAAACTGATAAGTTCATTGGCTCTGCATTCAAGGGCAGCCAAATTAAGGAGATAAATCGCTAATCTGAATCAATGGAACACCTGTGGTCCCCCAGGGGCCGTCTCCCCAGGCAGTACAAAGAACAGACTAAAATATATTGAAGTTGCGTTTCCTCTTCCCTTTCCCCAGCTCAGACACAGCACACATATCCAAGAGTCTGTGAATATTGGATTCCTCTAATCTCTCTCCCACTGCAAATGTTTTCTTTAACCTCCCTAAGTTCTGTTGAAAAACATCATGCCTGAATGTAAAAAAGTATACAGAAAAGGGCATTAAAAAGCAATCCACTAACAGCAATGCCTATTTATTATCTCTTTGACTTACTTGAATGTTTATTTCTCTGTTTCCTCCCACAGTATACCGTTTGGAACTTCCTACCAAAGAACCTGTTTGAACAGTTTAGAAGAATTGCCAATTTCTACTTCCTCATCATCTTCCTGGTGCAGGTAAGGACAGACGGTGTTTCAATCCAAAGTCTGTTTATCATTGTTTAATAACAACTTAATGAATGACTGCGTTGTCTGTGGTGTTGTTTAACAAATTGCGTGGCGAGAGGGCTATTATGTGTCCGTATGTGACCCTTTCAGACCACGCTGTTAACCGGGTTTCAGCCTGTTGATCTCAACGGGTTATTGTGTCTCATCCAACTTGTCTTCCCATCCTGTGTTCTGGCCTACGTAATGTGTTTTTCCCCAGTGTGTGAAAAAGAGTGAGAAAGTCTTCCCATTTGCATGGCAGGTGTGAAAGAGATCTTGTATGTGTCAACTGTAATGTTTGAAATGTGTGTGCAATCATAGCAGGTGTTCAAATGGCTATAGCTTCCCTTAAAGGTGGGGTAGGTAATTTTGGAGAAACCAGCTCGAGTGCGCTAGAATTTGAAAATACACAGCCGGGAAAAATCTGCCACTTCCTTACAGAGCCCCTCCTCCAACACACACGAACGCGCACATGACCAATGAGGGCACGAGATAACTTTGTGCACAGATGGAAGGCTGACAGGCAGGTGATATGTATATTTGAACCCATTTCTTAATTGGATTTCCACTACAGAACATCACTCTATCTTGACACACGAGGTAACTGTTGTATCAAATGACATTTACTGTAATTTTGCCGTATTGCCCACCACTAGTTGAAATGTATCAATCACACCTAGTTTGATTCGAGATACATTGGAAATACATAAGCATATGGTTCTAAGGAAGTATTTATGTAACCTCCTACAATGTTTGCCTTCATTGTTCCACAGTAGTGAGGTCATGTGTAAACCAATTAATGGGTTTTTAATGGGCTATTAGTACCAGGATTCAGGAGCGTGTAAATTGTATTTTTATCTAACATGTCGATATGCAGTTTCCCTAGAATTAGGTTACAGGGTACAAAGAGTACATCTGTATTTGAGGTTGGCCTATTTTTACATTCATCCTCTCCAAAAAACCACAGTTTAGTGCAATCCAAAAAAGACACATTTTACAAGAGTCTAATAAGGTGATTTAAAATTCAGCTTCATGTCTGTCATTGTTAGATCGTGTTGTGTTTCGTACGTGCTGCCCTTTCCTCATAAGTGGAAACTGTGAGCTGGCCGAGAGTGCTGACTAAAATGCTTTGACTGGCATCCGTCCTCCCCTGCTGCGTGCTCTTAAGTGACCTCTCCTCTCTCCTCTTTGGGGTCTGGCTGTTGATTGAAGTAGGAGAGAAAAAAAAAGGTGCTCGCATCTGCACCAGCTCTTCTGTCATCTCTTTCTTTCTCCATTTTTGTTCTGATCCATGGAGATGGAAACTAACCTCTCTGCTTTTAGCAGTAACCTAAACTATGGCTGCAAACAGCCCTCTAGTGTAAACAGGTGCTGCTGTTGGGTCTGCTCAGGAGGGATGTGCTCTATCTAGTCGCATACTGACTGAATGAGCTCAGAGTGACTGCTCCCAGAAGCCCAGCAGTGTACTCAATTGAGAAATATCTGCTGTCGCAAAGTAATTCCATCATCCTTAAGTCAATAAAAGATCAGTGTTTATTTACTCCTCCGGGCTTTGTTTCCACCTGTATTTACACTCGACTGCCCTATTTTCCAGTTGTTCCGGTTTAACTCTACATTATCGTGAGATAAAGGTGCCACGTTTTCTGACAGTTGTGAGCTATATTAAATTATCATGAGCTAATGCAGAACACTTATGTGGGAGTGAGCTACCGCGCATGTTTGCATCCCTCCCACAAACACACAGGGATTATCAGTGTGTAGAGTGTGTGTTTGTGAAAACATCGTGCATGTGATTGTGAGTGTTAATGTATGACTCAGTGGGTGTCCTGGGTTTGCTGACAGTGTTTACCCAAGCTGCAGCGTGGCTGGCGTTTCTCCACTAATCCAGCCTCTCTTGAGGGGCTCCTTATCCCAACCACTCAGTTTTCCCCATGCAGCCTGCTATTATATCAGAGAGAAAGGATGAGAGAGAAACAGGTACGCAGACCCCGTGTGCTCAAATGTTACGCTTGCATCTCAGAGACAGAAATAAACCTCTCTCAACCCTCTCACTTCCCCTAAGAGGCTTCATGCAAATGCTTTACCAGCAATAAAATGTCATGCATCCTCCCATCCGTTCCTCTTTTGTCTCTGCCTTTGTCATTTAGTCTCTTCCTTTCTGTCGTTCTTTCTCCCTTTTTCTCTCTCTCATTCCACCCATCTCTCTGCAGCGCTGCACTGCTGACGTCAGCAGCCAGGAAGCCCTCTCTACATCTGAGTGCCACAAATAGACACAGGCTGATAAAAAAGCACCACTCCGCTATAAATAGCCCTGCATGTCTTTGCTTGAATTTGATCGAATGGAAATAGAGCGCAGTGAGAGAGTAAGAGAAATGGTGATGAGAGAGGAGGGAAGAATAGGAGAGGGGGGGGAAACGAAAGGGCAAAGGGGTAGGGGGACGCGAGGGGGCTCACAGCGCTGCCCTGGGACCCCGGGGACCTGCTGTCGGTCGCTCACTCTGACACACTTCTCAGATCAGATGAAGGGCTCCGTGCTGCTCCGCTCTGCAGCTCTGGCATCACACCAGCAGCACACAGTTCACTCCTATTGCTGAGATGTTTTGGCTTTGCATTTGGTGCAGAGGAGGAAAGGTATTTGGCCATCTGGAAGTTTGGTGGGCTTTGTTGTGAATCAGCACGGATAAACTCTGAAGGACGAGCTCTGGGAGAACTGTGTGTTGTTTGGCAGAAGTTCAGTAGCTGGAGGTTTTCTGTAGTATTTTCTTTTTTTTCTCAGGAGGTTGCAGTTGCAGTATTTTCCAGAACGATTCCATTGAAGCATTGAAGGGCAGTTTTCACCCTCGTACTGTTCCAAAATTAATTGCTGTCCTTCTCTGTCCTATAAACTTGTCAAGTGTCTTTTTATACTTTATTTTAGTGTGAGATGAAATTGCTTTTTATAGAATAACTTTTTATGGGATCAAAAAGAACACTTTCATTTATCTCTTTTTATAGTTCTCTATTGAACAGTTGTCATTGTAAGTGTCATAGAAACACCAAATATAAATCAAGCGACATTTATGCTAAAAGTTGGCTTTGTTGAGCATTCTCTCTGTACTGTGGCCACGCTCTGTCCCTCAGCATCAGAGGGACATGCTGTCCTCGGTCCTTCCTGCAGCTTCTTTTTTGGTTTCTGTAATCAGCCAACATTTAATTTGTCATGGGAATAGGCAAAAATAAAGTTCGTCATGACCTTTTTCCAATACTCATCACATCATGGGTAGTGTTTTCCTTTGAGGATCTGTATATGACAAACAGTGGAGGAATAACATAACAATAGGAGACTGAGATCCAATAATCCACTATAGCTACTTATCCTATAGCAATGTCCAAGGTGTAATGCGTCTTTAAAACAGTGCCCTATCACATCCTCATGTACAGCAGCGTCCTTTTGAAGCATTGAGCACTCCCACCCCTAGCTCTCTACACCTGAGGCTGCGGCAGAATCCTTACGTTTGCTTCTTTCTCACTGGAATCGCCAAGCACTTCAAATATAATGCAGGCTCTCCTCTAAATCTGCACTGCTCCAAATAGTCGATGTGCACTGGTCCCTCTCTGCCCTGTAATTGATTAATCCTACAGTTAATTTTAATCCCAATGAAGTTGGGCTGGCAGCTATCTGCCCTTGTCATTACTATGAGTGTGTGTGCATGAGTAAGTGTGGTTGCAGAGTGCAACTGTGTGTTCATGTCTGACCGTGATTACTGAGCGGGAAGCAGGCTTTCATTTCATTCTCATTCCACACACAGGTAAGTAAAACACCAGAGACTGCTTCGAAACGCATCTCCTGCTCTCCTTGAGCTGATGGCTATCTGACAGCTTGTAATGTCAGAATACCAACGAGCTGGATGTGTCTGTGCGTGCTGTAATATGCAATCTGGCTCTGGGGGAAGCCAGCCTGCAGGATCAGAAAAGCTAGGGTAAATCCATCTTGTAATGGTTTTAAGAAACACACAAGGCCAATTGTGTACCGGGGCTCTAGCTGGGAGCCGTGGTCAGGTGCTGCTCCGAAACGGCTTGTTTGGGATTACCTGATAGCTGGTCACACACTCATTACGCACAGAAATGAAACCCATTGCATACTACTAGATTCCCTCACGCAGAGCTCGGCAGGTAAAGTGAATCCAAAAAAGCTTTGTGTTGGCCCTCTCCCATTCCTTGGCAGTGACACAAAAGCGTTGGCATGCCTGCAGATTAAGCACTGCCCCTGGACCGCTTGATTAAAGGTTCTGCGGTCCAGAACTTCCCTCGCTCCCTTCCAAAATGTAAATGTCTTCCCTGTGTTTCCCACTGATGAACACATGTGGGGAATAGTAGAATTTCTTCACAGAAAGCGACTACACCCTGCATTTAAAAGGCTTTCCCAATCTTCTATACTATCACCACAGACTCCTCCCTCTGTAACCCCAGTAGCACACGTGTGCTGCAGTAACGCTTTGTGGGGATGTCTAGTATTTAACGCATAGCTTTACAGTTTAAAGGTCATATGTTTACAGTTTACAACGTGACATTCCTCTCAAGTGAATTTTTTTTCTTCCAATAGGTGATAGTGGACACCCCTACCAGCCCAGTCACCAGTGGCCTACCCTTATTTTTTGTGATTACAGTAACGGCTATCAAGCAGGTAAGACCCTAATAAGTGTATGATAATAACGAATAATTGGGATTTATGTTGCCTCTTTTTCTCCCTCATTTCTTTCTACCCTTCCTCCCTCTACATATAACACAACAAATCCCCTGCCTTCATAACACCTTTGCTGTGATTTGTGTGTAACGTATGTGGGTTTTGTAATAATGTGCTCCGCTGGCTATTTCTGATTGAGAAGAAGATGAAATTGGCTCTCTGGGAATGTGAGAAGATGGGGAGAGAGAAAGAGTCTATTACAGAGATACAAATGATCAAGGGGAGGGTCTGTTTCCTCGACTCTGTTGCTTGCATGTCACGTCTTTAGATGTATTGTTCTGGGATCGCCTTTTTTAGTTAGTCTACTGCTGGGCCTTTGAAATGCACAATAGTGAGTGGACTTCCTTGGGAAAATATATGGAACACACTGATAGCACTGAACCGCCTTCATCATGCTTTGAAGTGCGGTACGCCTGACTCCTACTAAAGTGATGATGGTTGTATAGTTCCACTGACCATCCCTGGAATGCCTGCCCTCCCTCCCTCCTCTTCCTCCTTCATCCACCTGGCATCATTTCTACCATCACTCAACCAGACTTTCTCTCTCGTCCTATAACCTTTCCTGGTAATCCTGCTTTCTGGCTCAGGCTCCACCTTGGCACACACTGTGGTTCGCCTCTCTACCCCCTGCATCTTTGCACCGTCTCCTTCACTATCACTAGGTGGGGTAGGTCATTTTGGAGAAACCAGCTCGAGTGCGCTAGAATTAGAAAATACACAGCCGGAAAAAATCGGAAAACTTCCTTACAGAGCCCCTCCTCCAACACACACGAACGCGCACATGACCAATGAGGGCACGAGATAAGTTTGTGCACAGATGGAAGGCTGACAGGCAGGTAGGCCATCCAGTTATTTTAGCCGGGCTGGCTCAAATGATTGGTCGTGCTTTTTACAGCACTACTGCTTCCACAGATGACGTTTTTTTATGGATTTTTGTCAAAGCACTTAAGATATTCATTGCTATCGGGATGTTAAGAGTATTCCATGGAATATAACAAAAAGTGTATCTCGAGCCGGTTTCTCAAACTTACCTACCCCACCTTTAAAGTACTTATGAAGTCTACACTAGTATTTGTGCCTCGTGCTGCTGCAGCCCCGGGATTATTTCATGACATACTGTTCCAATGCACTGCTGGACAATGATTATCCCCTTCTGCTGCGGCAGGCACTCTCTCTCTTTCATAATGATTTATATGTATGCACAGACATTTCTTTGTGTCTTCTATTGTGATTGGTGAGAGGTTCTGTCAAACCTTTACTCTGTGTCAGCATGTACTGATGTCGATATCCTGTTCCCTGGTGAACAAGTATTGTACTTTTTGTTGCTTAAGCAAATAACAAAATTCTGATTCTGGTATGCTGCCCTAGGGCTACGAGGACTGGTTACGGCACAAGGCTGACAATGAGGTGAATAAGTACCCAGTGACAGTGCTAGAGCAAGGCCGGAGGGTACGGAAGGAGAGTGAGAAGATCAAGGTACTTTTCAACAGACACATCCACTGGAATAAATATTTTCTTAGCTACATGGCCATGAAAAAGCTGTGTTTTGCATACATGCACAGGGAGAACTTGCCCTGTATGCTGAACTGATTTGACGTTCAAACATTGTTGTGACGGTAATTCATGTGTCTAGGGTGTCATGTGCACGTTACTTATGTTATACATTCTTATGTTCTCAAGGCAATAGTTTTTTCAAAGGTGTTCAGGTTAAACATGATGCATTAAACAATATTTTCCAATATGTAAAGTGAACCAAACGACTCCAAATGTTTATGTTAAGCGCTGCTAGTGCTCATGACCCCGCTGAGACTGATCATTCAGCTGTCAAAACCAAAACATTGATGCTTTGGATAAAGGTTTGGACAGCTGCTTCCCGCACAGGAGCTCACACAAGCTCCCTGCAGGCTACCTCCTAGTGTTAAATGGACTAGGGCTAAAATAAACATCAAACAAGCCAAAGAACCAGATTTTTGTCCGTAGTTGAAAGGCTACATCAGAGTGTTTATTGACCAATGGTTAGACTCTGCAGGGATGCTCATGTTGCTCTGTTTATGCTATCACTTCAAGTAGGTCTGCTTGCTAACAAATTAGCCACAACGGCTTGAAAGGAAATTGGCAGTGGCGTACGTTTATTCTGGAGTCCTTCTGCTCCCTGTGATTGTTTAAACTTCGGTTTAAGTCCTACTGATCTGGTGCCTTAGAAGAAGGGGGAGAAAGGAAACTAGAACTTCTTTAAGTGCCGTTTGTTTGTGCTTCTTTATCAGGTTGGAGATGTTTTGGAGGTGGATGAAGACGAGACCTTTCCCTGTGATTTAATACTGCTGCAGTCTAGTCGAGATGATGACACATGTTTTGTTACCACAGCAAGTCTGGATGGAGAGTCCAACCATAAAGTAAGACAGGCCGCTCTGCTGTCCCCTTTTTCTTCCCTAAGATTACATTGTCGAAGTATATTCATCAAAAAAACTTGTTTCGGTCAAATGATATTGATTTATATTTTGACCCTATGATTTTATAAATGTATTGCTTATTAGAATTAGGAAAAAGGAAGTTGGTATGAAAGCAAATGTATATATTTTATTAATTTTTAAATCATATCTTAATAGGAAATGTTATCTCTTTATGTCACACTTCCTGTGTGTGAGAGAAAGTGAAATGCAAAGATAATAACAAAGTCAACTAAGTCAATGCTCACACTTCTCTCTCTCTGCTTCTTCGTCTTGTTCAGACACACTACACAGTGCCAGACACGGAGAAAGATCTGGAATCTCTCAACGCCACCATCGAGTGTGAACAGCCACAGCCTGACCTTTACAAGTAGGCACTCATCTTGTGGCCCCAACAGATTTACACCACAAGCATGTTTTGCCGGTGGTCTGTCGGGCAAGGGATTCACTCAATGCCAGTTAAAAATGTTTTAAATGACTCTAATATTAACATGTCGATTGTTAAGTAGACACATTTAGGCAAGCCTTATAGTGTGTGTTTCCTATTAGGAATAGCCAGCACAGTTGGTTCCTATTTACTTGTAGGACTCTCCTCTCTATCAACACATAGCCTTTAGCTCCCCCTTGGGACAAGGAGTAGGATTAGTCGTCATTTAACCAGACATCAGAATGGTGTTGGAGACGTGATAAAGCTAAGTAAGCCATGGCGCCAAATGCTTGCTATAAAGAGTACATCAAAGTGACAGCCTGCTGCTGGCTAACCCCCAGTAATAAGCTGGCTCCCAAATCTCTGCACATAAGTACTTAAAGTTTGTAAATGAAATTAACTGAGCATACATTTGGATACCTCAAATTGAAACCCATTCTAGCATTAACAGATTGATTAATATACAAAAAACAAATATCACATGTACAAATTACTTCTGCTTCTGAGCACGTTATTCATTTTGTTCCAGGTTCGTCGGCCGTATGCACATCTACAAAACGGATCAGGAGCCTGCAATGAGGTGAGAGCGCTAATGCACGACAATCCCAGCCCACTTTAAGTGAAAGCAAAATCAAAACAGATTGCTTAAGCACTCATTTGTTTCTCTCTGTATCAACCAACAAATCATTATTGCATTGATCCTTCATTGCAGAAAAGCATTAAAATTAAAACAGGTTGGCATTGCTTCAGCCTCGGCTTCCAAAGCACTCCCACAGGCATTTATCATTGACTGATTTGTAATGGCCGTACAAACAAATGCCAATGTCCTTCTCAAGAACACTGGAAACGGTGTAAGCCCAGACTGCCGTCATACTGTGTTTTGTCACTGCGTATTTTAGAGTGGATGCCAGCTGGCCTGCCAGTTTTCCATTTAGAGAGTAGAGGATTGTGTGGACTGCACATCACTTGTATCACTATCACTAAACAGTTCTGTCTTCCCATGTGCTTTTGCAGGTCTTTGGGCCCAGAAAACCTCCTCCTGAAAGGGTCAACTTTAAAAAACACTCAAACAATATGTGGTGAGTCAAGTCATATTGCCTTTCTTTTTTTTAATAACGTATTTTAATGAGATAGCTTAAAAGCTAATCACTTATCTCCCTCAAGGTGTTGCAATTTACACTGGCATGGAGACAAAGATGGCTCTCAACTACCAGGGCAAGTCTCAGAAACGCTCGGCTGTGGAGAAGTACGTTTAGAGGAAATTAAGTAAACAAGTGAAAACATATGTGACTTAGCTTTTGGCACTGATCTATTTCATTTTTTATATTTCAGGTCCATCAATGCCTTCCTTCTGGTTTACCTTTGCATATTGGTGAGCAAGGCCCTAGTGTGCACTACACTTAAGTATGTGTGGCAGAACAAGCCCGGACAGGACGAGCCTTGGTACAACGAGAAAACCCAGAGAGAGAAAGACACCAATCTGGTGAGAGGATGTTTTATCAACCCGCCTCCATGTTTTTAAAGCAATCAAATGTGAGTTAAGTGTCACCACAAACCCAGTCGTGCAGGAATTACCACTCCTGGGAAAAGAAGAGCTAATAGGGCTTGATAACATTGCATCAGTTCACTGTATTATATCTATTACACATTGTATTATAGCTAGAAGGCATGTGTTACTGTGGTAAACACCCTGTGTAGGCTTGTTGTTGAAACTTTTCAGAGCACAGTTTTCTTGTATTACACTGTTTTACAAGTGTTAGCCTCTTCTGATCCATACTAATAAAAACTGCTCTCAGCAATGGGGTCACCACAAACCTATATTGGGACATGGTCCATTTTATTGGCTGATAACCCTCTACCCTCTCCCTCAATGAACTGTGAACATTGTGATACAACCTTGGGACTCCACTATTTCTTTATCAAGGACTACTGGTCTCACCTTATCCACCATGTTTATGTGTTGCATAGGAGTTCATGGTAATCAAGATAAGAAAAGCATTAAATCATCTCCCTGTGTTTTCATGTTTTTCCAACAGTACCTAAAGATGTTCACTGACTTCCTGTCCTTCATGGTGCTCTTCAACTTCATTATCCCGGTGTCCATGTATGTGACGGTTGAGATGCAAAAGTTTTTGGGATCCTTTTTCATCACATGGGACAAGGACTTCTTTGACCCTGAAATAAAAGAGGGTGCCTTGGTCAACACTTCAGACCTTAATGAGGAGCTTGGACAGGTGAGGCAGATGGTCCAAAGTAAAATAAAACAACATTTCAATGGCATAAATGTCATTGGAAAAATGCTTTCTGTAAAGTCACCTTTCTTGTTTGTTATTCAAAACCTGTAGTTCTTTATGAAATCTCTCAGCCATTGAGTCTCCTTTTGTAATATTGATTTTTTTTTTTTACTTTAAGAGGCACTGGGTCATTTCTTTTGTGTCTCTAAAGCTGAGTAACCCCCTTAATGGCACTGATGATATTATAAACCATTACAAAAATGTCAGAAAGTAAACCTTTTTCTCAACAGTAAATATGCAGTCTCCATTAATATATGAATGCAATCTCTGTGCAAAGCCTAAATGAGGATGTGATGCACAAGCCCACAATAAGTGTGTAAATGTGATTAATGTATTCAAAATGTAAAGGAAAATATATTTACAGATAAATAATTGTATTCGAATACACTTCAAGGCAGCATTAGTTGCTTTAATACAATTAAACCTAGTAAAAAAAAAAGAACAAAAATGTTAATTGGAACAACCGTCCGCAGCATCTACATGCTATTGGCATTGCCACAGCCCATCTGTACAGTGCTACTGCAAAATATGAGCTTATAATAACTCCATATTGGTCTTGCTGTCCTGACTTCTGTTGTTTTAATGGCGCTTACTCAAACAGTGCTGCTATAGATCAGTCACACTTGGTTTGCCAGAGGATTTCTTCAATTAAAGTTGATGCTTCGTTAAACTGATTAATGCAGTGTAATTATTTCTGGAAGTAATTGCCTAATCTTATTGTTGGACCCTGTTAAATAGGAAAATGAATCTTTATGGATTTGGAAGAGCCTTTCACATCTCTTTATCACATTGCCTGCAGGTGGAGTATGTCTTCACTGACAAGACGGGCACTCTCACTCAGAACAACATGGAGTTCATAGAGTGCTGCATCGATGGCTTCCAGTACAAGTACCAGGACGCAGGCACGGACTTGGACGAATTCTGTGTCACAGATGGACCTGTAAACAAAGTGCAGCACAAAGCTGGCAGGGTGGGTGTTGTGGTGTCCCTCCATCTGTTGTAAAAGTCACACATGCGGCAACATATGGCCATTACATAGCTTGCTGCTCAGAAAGACCCTTCACCGGTCACCCACATGCAGTCTCCTTGACATGTCAACATAAGCGCTCAATATGGAGGGGGAGCAAAGTGGCTGTGTTCTCTTGACATGAGTGCCTGATAACCCATACACACTGTAGCACTAAAACACATGCTGATAAGGACTCAATTTAGACAAATAGTTGTAAAATCAGTTCGTTATCTAAACTCCAGCTACTGTATATGGCTCCATGTGTGGCTGTATTCATATTTAGTTTAAAGTTGCAAATAAAACAATGTGTATAGGCAAGGCAAGTTTATTTATATAGCACTTTTCTGTACGCGACAATTCAAAGTGCTTTACAAAACAAATTAAAAGACTTTTTAGAATACATACAGTAAAAACACATTATACAATTTTACAACAGACATTACAAAGCAAAGATAATAAAATAATAAAAATAAACACCACAGGTAAACAATACATGTTTAAAAGGCATACTCTAGTGCGAATATGAGCAGCTCAATTAAAAGCAGCGGCAAAGAGATATGTTTTCAGTCTCGATTTAAAAATAGTAAGAGTTTCTGCAGACGTGCACGATTTGGGTAGTTTGTTCCAGAGTGTCGGGGCATAACAGCTAAATGCTGCCTCTCCATGTTTTGTTTTTACTCTCGGAACCGATAGCAGACCCGTCCCAGAAGACCTAAGGCACCTTGATGGCTCGTAATTATGTAGGAGATCAACCATATACCTCGGTCCTAAACCATGTAATGATTTAAAAACTAGCAATATTACTTTAAAATAAATTATTTGGCCGACTGAAGCCAATGTAAAGATTTCAGAACCGGACTGATGTGATCCACTCTTTTAATGTTAGTGAGGACTCGAGCAGCAGCGTTCTGAATCAGCTGATTTTTTTTGTCAGCCCTGTGAATACACTATTGCAGTAGTCTAGTCTACTAAAGATAAAAGCATGGATAAGCTTTTCTAAGTCCTGCTGTGACATTAGTTTTTTAATCCTAGATATGTTCTTCAGGTGATAATAAGCAGACCTAATGACTGTTGTGATGTGGCTGTTGAAATTCAGGTCTGAGTCCATCACTACACCCAGATTTCTGGCTTTATTAGTGGTTTTGTAGTCTGCCGACTGAAGCTCTGCGATTACTTTTAATCGGTCCTTCTTTGCTCCAAAAACAATGATCTCAGTTTTTTGTTTGTTCAGTTGGAGAAAGTTCTGAGTCATCCAGTCAGTGATGTGCTCAATGCACTTGCTCAGTGTTCTAATCGGAGAACAGTCCCCTGGTGTGATTTTACAATAAATCTATACAATAATTTTGTTTAATCACAATTTATATAATATCTTATTTTACTTCACTAAACCATGTTCACGTTGTGTTTTTAGGAGAAGGAAGAGCTGTTTCTGCGTGCCCTGTGTCTGTGCCACACAGTCCAGGTGAAGGAGTCTCCACAGCAGGGTCAGGGCCAAAGGGACGGACTGATGGACCGGGTGGATGGCTTAGGGACGGATGGAGAGGGGCTCCATCCACCCCCACAGGAGCAGAGAGGCTTTATCGCCTCCTCACCTGATGAAGTGGCTCTGGTCAAGGGTGCCATGAGGTAAGAGGGCTGTTGTGACTCAATGTGTTCAGCTGACATTGTAACAAAAGGTCAAAGAGCAAGCCTACATGGTATGCATTCCATCACAACATTCATTAATACATCAGTGGCTCATTTGTGATGATTTGTCTCCATCTGCAGGTACGGCTTCACATTTCTGGGTTTTGAAAGTAAAACCATGAAAATTCTCACTAGGGACAATGATGTTGAAAGGTACGTCGGTTATCAAACATAGTTTTTATTCATATGCTTCTATTTGTACTACAGCTTTTTTAAAGTCCATTTTGTACCACCTTAAGGTATGAACTGCTTCACGTGTTGAACTTTGACCCAGTGAGAAGGCGAATGAGTGTTATAGTCAGATCCAAATCAGGTGAGCTTGAGATTGCCGTCATTTTCATTGCGTTGACTATGATTTAATGTTGGCCCTCAGCCCTCACCATGCTCTGTGTTTGTATTTCTGTATGTTTTGTGTCCAGGTGATACACTGCTTTTCTGTAAGGGAGCGGACTCATCCATCTTCCCTCGCGTCAGACAGGAAGAGGTCGAAAGGATACGCATGAATGTTGAGCGTAATGCAACAGTGGGTGACAAGCACAGATTGCCACTCTAAATATGTCAATATCTGTTGTTTTTAAGTGTGTACAGTGGTGCAGTGATGTCTTTTTGTAGGCTAAGGGGTCCTTAAAAAAAACAACAATAGGCTTTCTGAGTACTGCAGAAAACAAGATCTGTGGCTGATCCTTATTTTTTGTACTTACATGTTTTGTTCAGCATGATAGTCTTTACATATTAACACCACGGACTCATGTTTGGCGTGATGACATTTAGTAATCTCATTTAGACATTTGTTAGCAACTGCACATTTTACAATACATACAAGCTCCGAAAATGTATGGCTGTGGCCAAAAAACAACAACATTTTGAGACGAGTCAAAAAATATTTGGTAAAATGTTAACTCATTTCCGGGTTTTAAGACTCATTCCTGCACCACTTTACACTGTATGATACTATGGTCAGACAGGTTTTAATTAAAGATAATAATGATGTTTTCAGATATTTTGTTTGTTTTGTATTTCTAACATTGGGTGCCGTATGTTGTGTTGTTCAGGAGGGCTACCGGACACTGTGTGTGGCCTACAAATATCTCAATGCAGAGGAGTACGCCCAGGCAGACGCAGGCCTGAGGGAAGCTAGGCTGGCTCTGCAGGACAGAGAGGAGAAGCTCATGGCTGTTTACAACCAAGTGGAGACCGGCATGAGTCTGATAGGAGCAACTGCTGTGGAAGACCGGTGAGTGCCAACACAACATAACAAACAAACAACTCAGCTCACACTGATGAACCTGCTCACATATAAAGTTGAATAATGACTTGCATGCTGCTGTTGTCCTTGCTCTCCTCTCTCTCTCTTTAAAAAACAGTGCCAATAATTTTAGCAGGCTTTAAATCTAAAATTGATAGGAGAGGCCAACTTTTGGTTGATGCCAGTTATAAAAAATGTGTCATTAATGTCCTGTCTTCACTTGTCTTGATTTCCGATTGCCCCTTTTGTTGTTTTGCGATTCATTTCTGCTTTTCTTTAATGTCAGCTTTTCACACTAAGTTTGTTCCTCATTACACTTCTGGTATTGTTTCCTGTATGAAGTGGCATATCTAATCTGATTGAGTATGGTGAGGGTTTCAATGTAAGCTCACGGCGCCCCCTTGTGGTTGACATTGGGTAAGGGGTCTTTCACAATCCAAGATTATTGTTTTATAATTAATATTTAAGATGGATAATGCATTGACTAACCTAAAAGGTAGGGAACACCTAATTGTATCAATGCATCAAATCTAAAACACATTTTTAATATATCAATATAATAGGCTATTATAAATAGAGTAATTGTGACACAGCAGCTTCAGATTTTATCATCAGATTGTCATTAAGCGTTTCTTTGCATGCATAATGTCTCTTGTGAAATATAACCCAGGTGCCAGTGGTTTTGTTTACCGGTGACATTTTTCCTTTCCTTCTCATGATAGCATTTATGTCTAAGAGTTAGTGCAATCATCTTTGTTTCTATCCCCAAGGCTACAAGAGGAGGCAGCAGAGACCATGGAGGCTCTCCAGGGTGCAGGCATGAAGGTTTGGGTGCTAACGGGGGATAAGATGGAGACAGCAAAGTCCACCTGTTATGCTTGTAGATTGTTCCAGAGAAACACAGAACTGTTGGAGCTGACTGTGCGTACTTTAGAAGATGGAGGCAGGAGGCGTGAGGAGCGACTGCATGAGCTCTTGGTTGAATATCACAAGAAAGCCGTACAGGATGCACCACCAGTTAAGGCAGGCGTCACCAGGTTAGTCATTTGACCTTAAAGGGGACCTATCATGCAAAATGCACTTTTTGATGTCTTTCATACATAAATATGTGTCCCCGATGTGTCAGGGAACTCACAAAGTGTCAAAAAAGAAAACCCTCTCTCTTTTCCTCCGTACCCAAATCTTTAAAAACGGGGGTACAACGCAGAGAGATCAGAAAGTTGCTATCAGAAACAATGCCCGACGTGTTTTGGACGTAATATAGTCTTTGTTTACATTAGCAAGCATCGCTAACACTCAGAGCTAACCTGTACTGGAGAGAGCATGTGTAAAAAAGCAGGAAATAAAAAAGGAACTCACCTTGTGGTAAACCCGCCAGAGAAAAAGCATTTGAGCTCCACACTGTTTCAGAAATAATCCTTGATGTGTTTGGAACATGATGACGTTTAATCACGGCAGCATGTAATTGTAGCTGCCGGGTAATTCTGAGCAGGCATTAGCTCCCCCTCCTCTTTTTTTTTCTTTCAAGCTAAAGACCCAAAATCAGCGTTTCTCTAACAGGGCTGAAACAGAGGGATATGAGGGATGTCTAAAATGCATGATCTGTTTGGTATTTTGAGCAAAACACACCATAGACATGTTTTTATATATCTGAGACCCATAATATATGCCTAAAAATAGCATAATAGGAGACCTTTAAATGACCTGTATTAAAGTTATCGTGTGATACTTTGCTCTTGTGTCTTTAAACTGAATAATAGAAATGACTAAACTTGAACCTATTCCCTTATTTGTTTTTGTTTTGTAGGGCCTGGTCTTCAGCAAACCATGACTACGGCTTTATCATAGATGGAGCCACTCTGTCCATGGTGCTCAACTCCTCCTCTGAATCCAACTCAAGTCGCTACAAGAACCTGTTCCTGCAGATCTGTCAGAACTGCACATCTGTGCTCTGCTGCCGCATGGCCCCTCTCCAGAAGGCACAGGTCAGAAGAATCTGGAACAAATTGGAAATATTTCCTCATTAAGTGATTAAAATATATGATTTTCACAGTGGTTTTTAAATGTTTGCCCCTTTGTCTTGCTGCATCTACAGATAGTTAAAATGGTGAAAAACTCTAAAGGAAGTCCCATCACCCTTTCCATTGGAGATGGTGCAAATGATGTCAGCATGATTTTGGAGGCTCATGTCGGGATTGGTAAGAAATCTCACACTGAAGCTGACTAAGGGCTCTTTAATGACTGCATCAGATAGAGGAAATGGTGGTTTTCTTTGGTGAAGGTAGTGTGTGATATCTGCTTTTGGTGTTCCAGGTATTAAGGGTAAAGAGGGTCGACAGGCAGTGAGGAACAGTGATTATGCCATCCCCAAACTCAAGCACCTCAAGAAACTTTTGTTGGCTCATGGGCATCTCTACTATGTTCGCATTGCACACTTGGTGCAATATTTCTTCTACAAGGTAGGATCAGCATTGATTTCATTTCACACTGCGCACACACTGACTGATTAGAGGATTACGTGCTGAGACACATTTGACAGCAAACAAACTCAACCGTTTTGTAAAAATGTATTGCACCATTGTACCTACATAATACCCCCACGGGGGACTTGGATGCATTTGATGTCCTTTTGATGTTTTTATTCAACAGTGTGAGCCTTTTCTCTTTTTTGTTTGCCTGCAGAACCTTTGCTTCATCTTACCTCAGTTTTTGTACCAGTTCTTCTGTGGCTATTCCCAGCAAGTGAGTATGTCCTGAGGCCCTTTGAGGTTCAAAGATGTTCTGAACATGAAAGGCGGCAGTATCCCTTGAATCAACACCTCCTCCACTCGTCCTCCTGAATGCTAGTCTTTTTCCCTCAGCTTGCCCCTCCCTCACTGCCCCCTGGGATGTTTGAGCTCTGATTGATATGTTTATAGACTGACTAAGAGCACATAGCACTTTAATAAATAAAAACAGACATGTGTCATGTTCTGCCACCAAGGTACATCCTATGTGGATATTATATAATTATAGTGTCATGTGTGCGTATCTGCCCGTGTATGTGTCATACTATATAATACCTTATTCAAATCCAGCTAGGAATAAGATGACCTGATTATAGTTTGGAGCACATTGATGAAGTTGCTTGTTTATAAATTAGAAATAAGTATAAGTGATACATTTTTAATGGTAGTGTTTATATAAAAACGTTTTCCTTGCATTGATTTTTGATAGTTTTGTTTTTGATCTTTTTAAGCAGGAATATTTCATTATCTCCTGCTACAGGGCCCCTGACAGATCTTCCATGATTGCATGAAAGATGTATATAAGCTTGCTTATATGAGACAATGAGTGTGTGTTTACGTATGGTGGTGTGTTTGAGATTTTTCCTCCATGATATTAACCCCCAGTTGCCCCATCCCATCCCCCGTCCACCTCCTCCTTGCCTATCCCTCCCCTTTTTGCCCTCCCTCCTCCTCCTCCCATCCTCCCCAGCCCCTGTATGACGCAGCCTATCTGACGATGTACAACATCTGCTTCACCTCTATGCCCATCCTGGCTTACAGCCTTTTGGAGCAGCACATCTGCATGGAGGTTCTGCTGGACAATGCTACCCTCTACAGGTAAACCTGGGAACATGTGCTTATCTGCAGTACATTCTGAGGATACTATGTCAATGTTACTTCCTTACTAACTTACCTCCTGAAAAGCAACAATGTTCAAATAAATGTATAAGATAAGATGGACTTTTATTAATCCCTCGTGGGGAAATTGTTTCTCTGCATTTGACCCATCCTAGTGTTAGGAGCAGTGTGCTGCCATTTTGAACGGCGCCCTGGGAGCAGTGTAGGGAACGGTGCCGGACACCTCGGTAGCACTTGGTCTTGCCTGGACTTGAACTGGTGACCTTCCAGTTGTCAAGCCAAGTCCCTATCGACTTCGCTACCACCGCCCAATATATAAATTATTATTTATTTTATAAACAAGTTACCCGGTCTATTTGTCAAAGCCACATTTTTGTAAGCTCTTTCTGATTCTTTAACATATCACATACAATTCTCGCCCCATCCCACTCTGGCTATTTGATGATTATGCTGTTTAGGCATTCACCTCATATGTTCAATTTATTTGTATAATACATTTTGACCTGATATATGCGCTTGTGTGCAGAAAACTATCAATATCAATCTTATTTTTCAAGTCCCCCTTAGACTTCTACATTAGACATTGAGTGGCAATTTGCACAAAGGAGAGCTGTTCCCATTCTTCACTGAAATGTCATTGTTCCCTCCCCTTTTTGATAATAGAGATTATATGCTATGTTTAATACTGATTATAACTTTGTTCATCTTTCTACTTCTCGAATTTCTTCAGAGGGATTGCTAAGAATGGCATGTTACAGTGGGGTCCTTTCTTCTACTGGACTTTACTCGGAGTCTTCCACGGCCTGCTCTTCTTCTTTGGTGTTCGATATTTGTTTGGTAACCCAGCACTGCAGGATAATGGCCAGGTTGGATTTTCTTGTGTGATAATTCAATTACTTCATCAGGCATCGTCTGCTAAGTACATTTGCTAATTGGTGGTATTAAAATCCAGGTCTTTGGCAACTGGTCGTATGGAACGATTGTCTTCACTGTCCTCGTCTTCACCGTCACACTTAAGGTAAGGTTTTATTGTCTCATATTTATACAGTAGTGCCTTGCCGAACATCTGTCTTTGGCAAATTGTGTTAAAAATTGGATATTTGGCATGATATTTAGTGCATTTCCTTTGCCTTTCTAGCTCGCTCTGGACACACGGCACTGGACATGGATCAACCACTTTGTTATCTGGGGCTCCCTGGCTTTCTACGTGTTTTTCAGCTTCTTCTGGGGAGGAATAATATGGTAAGAAAACAACTCACGATAGGATAACTCATATTCATTGTAGGTGACCTGTTATTTTGTATTTTATTCAACCCTTGTAGCATGTTCAGTTAGTCTAAACCAAACTGTTCCTTCCTGCAGGCCTTTCCTGAAGCAGCAGCGTTTGTACTTTGTGTTTGCCAACATGCTGAGCTCGGTGTCAGCCTGGCTGGTCATCATCTTACTCATCCTGCTCAGCCTACTGCCAGAGATCCTGCTGGTGGTTTTCCGCAAGCCCCGCGGGCCCCACGCTGGACAGGTAAATCTGAAACACACACATTTACTCTCTACTTCACGTTCTCTCTCTCTCTGTCTGTTAATATCTCTTCTCAATGTTGACGTATAGTTTTTGTGATATTTAACCTTTTATTTTCCCAAAGGTATGGTCATTGTTAATAAAGCCCATCCTTGGGGTGGGGTATGGTTACAAGGGGGATATAAATCAAATCCTTCTCATATGGTAAGAATGCTCAGGTGTGCAGGACTTTGTGTATACGGAGAAATGCTTCAGTGCAGAATCCTATTGGCCTCAACCAACAACTCTCTTATCTGTGTTGTTATACCAGGAGGTGGAGCATGAGGGTGACATGAAGAAAATGGACATTAAACACATTGTTTTGAAATGTAAACAAAAGCTTTCATTTAAAAGCTAAAACACATTCAAACACACCCAATGCTAACTTCTCGCTAACGGTCAATTTGTGTTGAAGTAGTCTCTCTCATCTTAATTAAGAGACATTTGAGTCCTTCAATATGCAAGTTTGTAAAATGTATGGATCACCATGGTTTAAAGAACAAAAAGCAGTACACATTTATAATTCCTAGACATATTCTGTCGTTTCAATTAACTCAACTTGTGTGTCCCAAGCAGCTGGAGATGTTTGCTGCTGTGCTTCTGGGCATTCGATCCACTCTTGTTTTTTTTTAATTGTGTCTAGACGTGTTTTATTTTGGAAAAGTAATAAACCAAACCAAATGTACAAAATAAATAATTGTGTATGTAGCTGCAGGAGCTGGCATACTGCAGATTTTGCAGTCCGTAAATCAAAATGACTGCTCTAGGTTGTGTCTTCATTCTAGTACTTTTTAAAGCTTTTTAATTAACAACACCCCCTTTAACCTTATTTTGTACTAATTTTCTACCATTTTAACATGTTCTTGCTAAGTAGTGCTCTTGCTCTAGTGTTCCTTGACTCTCTCACCCTCTTATTTTCTTTCCTCCTCGCCTGACCTGCCTCCCTAAAGATGAAGCATCGCCTTCCTTCATCGGGGACATCTACTATCTTCATGTTGTCACAGACCGCTAGCACTCACAGCTTCTCGTGGACCGACTGAGGTCTCTATTTCTATCTGTCCGCTGTTATGCTCAAGACTCTTCCTGCTGAGTTTTTGTTTCTGCCACTCTTGTTCTGGCTTGTTTCCTACCTGTTGTGTCCTTCCTCTCCCACTGTTTGACTCCTTCCTTACCCTCTAAAGCAGGGGTGTCAAACTCAACTTCATCGAGGGCCACATCAGCATTAAGGTTGCACTCAAAGGGCCGGTTGTAATTTTAAGATATATAAAAATACATATATAAATATTGAATATATATAAAATAATGTATTATATATTACATTATTGCCTCTGCATTGGATTATTCATCGGATAGGGGAATAACTTCATATTTAACTACGTCTGAAAACAGAAGTCTGGGGCAAATAATTGCAACTCTCTTCAGTGCGCATGTCACAAAATGATTTAAAAAGAAAAGCCAAATTCTAAGAAAAAAGTCAAATGTTGAAAACAAAGTAACATTTTGAAGAAAAAAATGTCAAATTCTGAGAAAAATGCATATTTGAGATGCATTGTGGGACATGTAGTTTATGGGCAACGTGCTTCTATAAATCGGCATGTAACCGTATAATAAACATATTATATTATTTGCAAGCTTTTGTGGGGCCGCATGAAGTCATGGGCCGGATTTGGCCCCCGGGCCTTGAGTTTGACACCCCTGCTCTAAAGTAACTCAGGTGGCATTCTGTGGCTTTAAACAGTACCCACTTAGATAGACCCATTAGGTTAGACAATAATCAGATGAGATGTCACATCAGAAATGCTATCCTGGGATGGCTTTATCTTTAAACCTCAACTGGATTTATTGTCTTTAGATATGCTTAATACATTGTGAGGTCAGTGGGCATGTGTGTGTGCCCAAGCAGTGTGGAGTAGGACCGGGTGTCCAAACGTGCAGTCAGTCTTCCATTCTTGTGTGTCCAGTCGCGTCAGTCAGTGTTTCCTCCCAGCTGCCGTGCTGCTTCGATGCCTGCTGCCTCCGCATGTCGAGTCAGGTGAATGCAGCACGTCAAAGCACCCAAACTTACCTGCATGAGGCTCAAGTCAGCAACCTCATCCTGGATCCTCACCACAAACCCTGAGGGCCACTGCATTCTGTCTGTGCCTGCGTGTTATACCGCTAATGCTTTTGAGAAATGTGCAAGCATAGCCACTTTTCGAATAATATGAACCAATTCATATAGAGCCAAGGTTTCTTAACAAATATTATTGCAAGGAAACTGCGTGTAAGAAGGCCCCAGGACTGGTTTCCATTGTCCACCTATCTACAAGTGTATGCCTATGTGTGTTCCCTTTCAATATATGTTTGTCTGTGCAAGTAGGAGCACAGGATGGAGCGAGAGGCAAAGTGTGTGTTTGTCAGCGTAGTGATGTCTTGGTGTCTCTTGCCTCACCCTTCTAGATGAAGCCAGTTCATTCGAGCGCCGGGGGCCACCAGTCTCCCCGGTCTTCAGCCAGGCCCCTGCTCATGAGAACCTTTTCAGACGAGTCCAATACTGTCATTTAAACAGGTACCAGCTTCAGGCCATTTAAGCCAATCAAAGACTCGCCAGCCCCCCCCCCCCCTTCCCCCTCCCAGACAAACTGTCCAGCTTCTCTGGTCCCTAACTCTTGAGTTTTCAAAGGCTTACTGGCAAACATTCAAGGGACAGGACCCAGTGTGTTCTTCTGTGTTTTGTGAGCTGATATTGGCTGCCTGAAGAGATGCACCTTTTCTATGTCAGACTTTATTACTTCAAATGATGCACATATTTAACACATACATGCATCTCTAGGCCCTAATGCTGCAAACTTTGTAAACATGCACCTTTCGGCCTCCTTTGGAATCCCCGCTTATATTAGCTTCTGCATGTGCTTTTACAAACCCAATTTCAAATTTTAATTTCCTTCCATCTCATTATTTTTTGTTCTAGGAATGTGTGAGCGTGAGGTGTCTGTGTTAGTTTGCTTGGATTTCATTATCTGACCATTTGAAACAGCAGGGCTGGTCTGTCATTATTGCATCTGCAGTCTGACATTCATGTACCGTTGTGGTTTGATCATGGTCGTGTCGTCCTGTGTGCACGTACAAACCTGACACGTTGGTCGCCTGTTTACTTTCCTGGCAAAACAATGTATGCATTTGTGAGTGCTGAGCTTGATTCACTGCATGGTGTGATGTTGCCTTAACCTCAGACATTGGTGCTGCATCACATAAAGGGGGCAAACAAATGAATCGAAACACGACATGATATAATATTGAAGATGTATTTGTAGAGATTAATCTAATAATAAAATAATAAATAGAGAAAACATTGTGGAATAAAACAAAATATGGTCCACAAATGAAATGTATATTAAATTGGGAAATTATGTTGAAAAACACGTTAAAAAAAATTCAGCTCTTTATTATATATATCCTCTAAGTTGTTCTAAATCTACTTTCTTCTTCTGTTTTTATTAAATATTTTGTATTTATTTTCTTTTTTATGTTGCACATGGGCAACATGTGAATTACTGTTCCTTTAGTATCACAAACCAGGCTTTGCCCCGTCTGAATATGAAAAAACATCACTTTAAAAAAAGGCAATTGTGGTTTGAAAAACACATTTGAATGAACTCTGAAACTGAGAAATGTATTTTGCAAAGAAGCAAGATTAATTGAGCTGATAATAATGAGCTGAATTTTTTTTAATGTGTCGGATAATTTCACAATGTAGTAATTTTCAGTCTGTATTTATTTACTTCATAATTTCCTATTTATTAATCTAATGTTAAACACTTGTGAGTCTCAAATAAACAGAAGCCTTGAGTAAATATAGTCAAATTGGACTTGCTTTAACTATCTGTAGATGTCGAAAAATAATTGGCAGCAATATCAAGAGCACTGGAGGTGTTCAGAGGTGAAGGGGCATCTCTTGACACCTTTTTGTGAGCTTGATATTAATGTCTAAGTGTTTTCATTTTTTTGTCCACCCTCTGTCGGTAGGTCTGAATGTTACACTTTCCCATCGCTGTTGACCAGCATGACCGGTAACTGTTGCCTAACAACAGCACCAGGCCCTCTGCTACGGGTTTCACTGTTTAACATGCATTTCTATTCTCCCAATAGCTGTCACAGGAAGGCCTCCTACAAACAGCCAGGTAAACTACCACAAGACAAACCTAATTCAATGTCTGCTCAATGTCACTGCTGAACTTCAACAAGATCAGTTTGCTTGGAAGAAAAATTGAGATAATTTCCTTTCCCTAATACGGTTTTCACGTACCTTGGTACGTTGCCAATCACTGCCGATTCTCTTGATTGATGATTTTTCTGGTTTCAAGGTGTCTCTTCCTCTCCTTGTAGTTGGCATAAGCTCATATGGAAAACATTGAAGTAACATCTGTCTGCTTGTGCTTTTCCAGATTACACCTGTCACACCACTTACCTATAAGCACCTGAAGGATCGCCAGTGAAAGGCAGCGAGGACCGGTGGCATCAACACCTCCAGGGTCCTGTACCGTTCAGGTCAGAGCTGGCTGCCATCAGGCTCCATCTAAAAAGAAGAGCAGAAGAAAAAGAAGACATGAATATGGGGGAAGGGATGAAAAGGGGTTTTGCAGTCTTTTGACTCTGATCTGTCCTTCTCCACACATTCCCTATAGCTCCCAACCCCCCCCAGCGCATGCCTGCAGAGCAGTGCCCTGCATTATTTGTAATATATCTACTCAGATGACAGGCATGATTTAGTTTCTTTCTTTTACTTTTTAAAAATACTAGCTTACAAACGAATGCATACACAGCTGCCTTGTCAGTAGCTCTATCCCACTGCTGTGTTTTAACAAGCAGTTGTAATAATATCCACTCCAAGAATGGTTCACCTGCATGAAAGATGGCTCAAAAGAAAGCTTCACTCCATTGATGTTCTGTCACTGTATGCTGCAAAGATTTTAAAGAAGACATAATGTCCTATATTTTGCAACGGTTACACTTTGAACGTTTATTCCACTTTATTGTCATGACACTTTTTGAAGGGTATTATTTAAATGGTTATTTTCAGAAATTACACTCGGGTCAAAATAATTCATGAAGAAAAGTTACTGGCGATTTTCCGGGTTAAAGATGATTATATAAAGATTATATTGCTATTAGTTTGTTATATGTGGAGTTAATAGAGGCCATATTACCACTCAATCCAAAAAGTTTGTGTGTGTATGCAAGATTGAGAGATAGATTAGAGATGTAAAGCAATCTAACATTGGAGAATGACCTTAATCTTCAAACCTCAGAGATAATTTAAGACTCAATTAAAGATGAGAAAATTAATATATGTGCTGTATTGTGTATATATAGCTATAGGGGTGTGTAAAAACATCTGCTCCAAGCCAAAAAGATGAATGTAATGCGATCTGATTCTGTCCACACCATTGTGACCCGAAAGTGAGAAGTCGGTGTGTGTGTCTGTGTGTTACATAAGTGCGTGTTGGATGAGAAAAGCCAGACACCTCTGTGTGTCATGAAAACCAGGATTACTTGAACCTCTAGATATAGTTTGCTTAGACATTTGCTGCACTATTAAAGAAGCTGGTTCCTTCATAGCATAGATGGTCACTTAGGCACATTACAATATGCCCGAGGACACACACAATAACCGCACATTGCGCACATGCACTAAAGCCTAAATGAGGTATTTATGTTCATCACTCATTATCTAGTTTGCATGAATTGTCCTAAGCAGGCTAAAGTTGGAGTGTAAAGAACATCAACTCCCGACCTGCCGCGTCAACACAGTTTGTGTCACCGTGCGGCTTCACGCTCCATTTCCTTCCTTCTGTTTTTGGTCACGTTTTCTGACTGACAGGAAGACAGAGTTGTGTTCCTTCCTCTAACTTCTTGTGTGTACTGCTTCATACATTCCATTCAAACATGCCATCATTTATAAATCACCTTTTTAGATATACTGTTTTCTGAATATAGTTTTCTGTTTTTTCCACAAACATGTATTGTCTATTTGGCATATTTATTGTTACCTGTACTTTTACTCACACATGTTATACTTTTATTACATAAATCTTTTTTTTATTGTCCAAGGGGTTAGCTTTGTGCTAGTTGAGTTTGTCTGTTTTACTGCAGCCCTGATGTGAGTGTGCCAATCCCTTAATAGTCTTTGTCCGACATGCAAAGACAGGCAGCCCCCCCCCCCCCCCAACACTCCCAGTATCCCAGAGTCAAACTCTGAACCAATGCCACTACTTTTACTGATGATACCTTTCATTCATCTTTTGTTTTGCTTTACAAAATCTGTCAGTGTGAGGATTTTATACTTTAGTAATATGCTGATTCCTGTAAACACATATCTCCAGTACAGTACTTTGAAGTGCTGGCCTTGTATTCCACTCCACTGAATGTAGCCTGACATATCTGATACAGTGCATCTGCGCAATGGCAGTCATACATGCCAGATTACATTTAAATTAGTGTTAAGTTAGTACTGATGTGTTCTTAACAAATGGACAGCGACATTTTCTACAAAGGTCGCTTGTTTTCTGACAGGAATATGAATGCTATTCTTTACTCTGTCACATGTCACCTCCACACTGCACTGAGCCGGAGACCCCGGATGTAAGAGGACACGCTGAGAGGGGCTGCCTGCTTTGTTAAAAATATATAAAACCTTTAAGTGACATCAGAAATGCTATTTTCAGAGCTTAAAAATATCTTGAAATCTAACGTTTTGCCTGTCTAAATGAAAAGTATAACATGATGGATTGTATTTTTAATGCAACCTTTTTCCAGCCACTTTTGTAAGAAAATGTAAGAAAAAAAGCAAGAGAGGCTCTGTGGTTGTGGACGCTGTCCCTGTCTGTAAAGGGCTGGAGGTGGACTTCTTCAGGCACCTCAGCAGCCCTGCGTCATGCAGCAGGGACCCCCCCCCCCCACCTCCAGCCCTTTGGGTCTCCAGCCTCAACACTCCAAACCTCCAAGCTGAATGTACCTCTTTGAAACTAGTATGTTCAAAAACCTGAAGATTTTCTGAAATAAAGCAGAATGTTTTGAAGATAAACTGCCTTGTAGTGCTTCATTATGCTAATGTTTATGTCAGCAGGTTTGTCTGATGTGTGTGCGTATGCATTTGGCCACACTAAGCAGATGCTGTGGTAATGAGATGGCTGAGAGGCTAAGCTGGATCAGCTGAGTGGCTGCGTATCAGGTCGGCGTACTGCTGTTCTCCCCCTGCTCCATGTGTGGCCTCACATCAAGAACACGTCAAACACTGAGGAGGTTTACATACATACATTTACAATTTATCAGTTTTCTCCACTTACATATCTACTGTTCATAAGCAACCATCCATTCACAGTAGTTGTGGGCTAAGCAGTGGGGAATGGAGTTGAGAAAGGCTCTGTGTATCAGTATGTACACAATGACACCCTTTCATATTTGTTCTTCTGTTTGAATGTGATTGTTATGTATTAAAGGCTGTGCTTTGCATGGGCCAAACTTGTTGGCTGAGGGTGTGGTGCATTTTCTGTTTACAATAGATCTATTCTCCACTGTGTTTGCGTCTATATGATTGTAAAGCTGAAGAAAGTGGGGACATGAACATGGCAGCCAGACCGCCTACGATCCAGCCTACTGTAGTACAGTCTGCCTAATACTGGGGACATAGAAAACAGCACCAGGGAGTGCGAAGTGAGAGGCAAAGTTGGGAGGGAGTTGGCAGGAGCAGAATCTTGAGCACTGCTTGTTGCAGAGCTGACGCACTGAAGCCCAGAGGGAGAGAGGAGAGGGGAGGGAGGAGGAGGGGAGGGGCGACAGAGATACAGACGGCAGTGGCCAGATGGAGCCTAGTTTGTTTTGAAGTAGCTGCTGCTAAAGCAGGACAGTCAGCCGGCACTAGTTTGTATGTGTAGGAAAATATCTAGTCTAGGCAACAACAGGACTAAAAACCCTCTTAAGTCTTCTGTCACTGTGAAGTGTGGAGTCACTCTATGCGGCTCAAGGTCAGGAAGATCCTCAGGGAACTGTCCTGGGACCCGCAGAGGCAGGTGGGCATAAGTTTCCTTGTGGCAGCTCCCAGATTGGATCATTGGGACACTATGCAGGGCTGCAGGACTCTGTGGAGGATGTGAGGCCTGGATAATACATCCCACCACAGCCTCAGTTCTCTCAGTCTGATCCAGGGTCGGACACGGAGGGAATGGGCCCAGCTTCACTGCAGGAGGAGAGAGAGTCGGAGAAAGAGTCCAAGAGGGAGATGGAGAGCTACCGCTGCCTTCTGCAGGCCGGCTCTCAGCTAGAGAGCACTCTGCAGCGTGAGTACACATGATGCTGACTGTCCTCATTTCACTTCTGCTGGCCTCATGCAGGCTTTTGAATATAATCCTGTATCTGCTTTAAAACTATTTCCCATTACTACATTTGAGCAGACTGACACTTAAAAGCACCGTAGCAGAGGTCCATTTAGTTTGATTGACAGTGGACATTAGTAACTTCTGAGAGCCATTACAGGAAGTAACTGGAGAACTGCAGCCTGTATCTTAGATTAGTCAGTATTATTGATGGGCCAGTTCATGCAGCTTTGCTCAAACACCGGGCCATTGCAGGGATTATGTCATCATCCCAAATGGAGAGATATTTATCAGTAGTGATGATTTAGAGAATATCTGCAGATGGTGGGTTGTATGTTAAATTGGGACAGTGCTCAAAGAAAAATCCATACTGCTGATGTTCTAAAAGTACATAATGTGTCCTCATGATGTTGTGTCATGTATTAAATAGGGGGGGCAATAAACTGTCTACACTTTTTCCTGAAGCAGCAACTGAATTTAGTCAGGAAAGGAAAAGTGCATGGCCTTTAAAATACTATTTTATTACCTCTTAAATAATGTTATGAGTTACAAAATATATTTACCATACAACAGTTACATTGTCTGTATCACAAGCATTACCCTCCTCAACATTTGTCAGTCATCACTCTAACCGTGTATTTTTACAAATGTCAGAATAAATAAAATAATGAAGGCAAGGTGATGGACAGAAATACTGTCTGATGTGATTGACAGCACTATCTAGGAGCGTCCTCCGGAGGTTAATGTGATTACTTTGGGATCTTGGCAGCATCATTGTTTAATTGATGGGCCTTTTGCCTTTGTATGACTCCTGTGGGTTCATTGCACCTGGGCTTGTGTGTGTAGGTAAGAGAGACAAGGCCACGCTGAGTTTCTATTTATACCAGCCAACATTTTTTGTATCTCTCTTTGTGAAATGTGAGCCTCGCTCTCTGGGTTTGTCGTAATCTGCTTATAGGGGATGCAGTGGTAAGCATAAAAAACACTGCTGTATGAAACAAAAACCATAGATCATCATTTCAGTAATGGGTAATGATACAATATCCTCTAAGCTCACCTTTACCCTTTTCCCTCTACACATTTCTACACTTTCCTTTCTGTCTGAGCCTTCTTTGGATCATTTAAAGAATGTGAACAATTCCAAGTGAACTTGTAATAATCACAATACTAACAGGGCCTTTTAACCCGGGGCCTTATGACTATGTTGTTAGGCAAAACCTGTGTCTGTGTTGTTAACAAAACCCTAAGGAAGACTTTACTTCCCCTTGAGTATGAGCTAAATCTTTATTTTTGTGTTTTCTTAATTATCAGTTAAAGTCTATGTAACTGTAAACAAGTATTCAATCTGTTTCAGTCAACAATAACACATGTTTCAACTCTGGCGCTGCAGTTTGGTACATAAAACAGACTCTTAAAACATTCTCCTTCTTGCACTGCCAGTTCAACTACAGTCTGACTTCCTTTAGTCTCTGCATGTCAGCTAGACTTCAACTCATAATTGTTTGACTGACACTTTACTACCTAACTACACAACAGGATAAAGACTTCAATTATTCACAGGGCACGGAACCCAACTAAGTCCAACAGTTTTGTTTAAACTGTAGTTCATTGCCTTTCTTTTAAGATAGCAGTCCAAATAATGTTGTCTCTCAGACTTCAACAGACAGTTTAGCTGCTTTTAGTGTTTATTCGTTGAATGGCTTTTCATTTGGTTTAATGCTATTACGTCGGCTGACATTTCCCTTGCTTTAATGTCTTACTTTTCAGCTCAGTTTAACTGCTTTCAGCACTCATTCTTCACGTATATAACCTATTGTTTAGCTGCTTAAAGGGCTTATGTGAGTTAATGTGAAACTGAAATGTCCTCTCCTTCGAGGAAATGACACTTCAACTCATTTAAATGCGTAAAATGCCTCAACTTAGACTGCAATTTCCACATTTGCGTGCATACAAATACCATTTAAAATACATGTTAGCTTGCTTCTTGATTTTCATCATCAATAAGAACAGAATCTTCTTTATAAAAAAAATAGTACTTCTAGTTTTCTTTACAGCAGTGTAGTAGATGCTAAACAATCTGATTATATGACAGACAGTCACATTGATAAACCACTATACAACTAGAATACTACAGAAACTAGTAACCGATAGATCAAGGAAAACTAAAATATTCTTCTTTCGACACCATAAAGTATGTTGATCTATTTGAATGAATCAAATGTTACCAAACCCACGACATTACTTCCATAGGGGCTGTCCAGTCAAATATGTAAAGCTATTATCTAGGGTTTACTGTCTATCTATTTCTGGCCTTTAACCAATCTAGTTTTCATGTATCCTTGCATGTTCTTCTACCATTTTCTATCAGCATGCAGCCGCCCACCAGTTTAATCCCCTTAGCATTGAAAGCTTTGTTTAGCAAAATATCTCATGACCCAAAAGCAGTATGAGGCCTGTGGGTACTGTGAACATGTTTGTAAGAAGGGATTTCTTCCTCTGGGATTACATGTTTCCACTTTTGCAAAATCTGACTACAAATAACATTCATGCTGGGTATGTGTTTTACATTCAAACCAGCCTCTCCTTTTGCTGACATTTGGTATGATTCACTAAGACGTACTACACTATGTGAAAAATGTTTGGCGCCTGTTCATTAATTGGTCATTCAGTAAATAAAATGATATTGTTTGCCCTGAGAAAAAAGGTATTTATTTACAGAATTCTTCAGTAGATATTCAGAACAAAGTAATCTTAAAACAGCCTCAATATGTGTGGGTTAAATGTTCTGTCAACCTCTTCAAATTAATTTGTATGGTGCATATTAAATGTATACATGTCTCTTTGACTCCTTTGACACGCTTAATTCTCTTCATGAGACATTTTAAAATAACAATAATGAAATCCCCTTTGAATCAATGTTGTAAAAGAATAACATGTGGAAAAGTACAAGGGGGTTAAGGCTTTTCATATGAACTGTATGTAATGAAGCCAGTGAGGATGCTTATCACTGTTTGGACACCAGACATAAGCTTTCAGCTTTGTATGCAGACTGGAAGATTGGTCTTGGTGTGTGGATCTGTTTGACTGGCAGCTAAGCTCTGTTTCCATCCACACTGGCAAACATTATTCTTTATGTGTGTGTCAGAGCAGAGGAGCAAACGGAGGTTATTTGACTTTCGCCTGTGCAAACCATCCAGCATGTCACCTGGAAAGGTCACGATGCAAGCAGAATCACACCTGTCCTACTTCGATTTGATTTTACGGTTTAAAATGTGTGTGTAGATGTGAGTTATTAAAGCTAAAACAGTGCATCATTGTATAACTGTTATTGTTTATTTGATGGACTACAAGGCATTTCATGTGGCAGTGTCTTAAAAATAACTTACTCATGTGATAGGATGGTGTCTGGCAGGGTTAGGGAAGAGTACAATATTTTCCACAGACTGGCAAATGTATTAACAGCATTGCAGTATGCTGCACAGGCTGCCCTTGCTTTGATCAAACACAGGTCCGCAGTGTGTGTGTTTGTGTATCAGTGTGTTCCTTTTTTCTTGCATCGACTGCAAGATTAGAAAACGTATCCATTACATAAACCCATGTAGTTAGATCTCACCAGCGTACATATTGTTCTATATCGACAAATCAAAGCATGATATATCTGTACACTACAGTTATCCAAATGGAAAATAACATCTATTTGTTTAAGACCTGT